GGCACACATATAGGCCTTGTTATTCAAAGATGGGGCATTCTCTGGCTCCACCCAACACCCACGCTTCAGCCACCAGCCCTACCCAGGCTAAATTTGGGCAAGCTGCACACTGCACAAATAATATGACCCACGTGTGACCCGGCTGGCCGAGGCTTCCGCTGGGACCGTCTACTACATGAATGCAAGTGGCCTCCTGTGGCGGCCTGGGTTTCTCGCCAGCATGGAGGTGGTGGTTCCTAAAGGGAGAGTCCAGGGAGAGGTGGGGGCAGACGTAAGGGAGGGAGAGAGGCAGAAGCTGTGCCCTCTTGCTGACCTGGCCTCCAGAGCCACTGTCCAACCCAGGCTGAAGGGGAGGGGAACCAGGGTGCCCCCTTGTAAAGGGAGGAGGCTCAAAGCACTTGCACAGCTTTCTATTTTATTTTAAAGATCTATTTATCTATGTGAAAGGCAGAGTGACAGGGAGAATCTTCCAGGCACTGGTTCACTCCTCCAATGACTGCAACAGCCAGGAATCAAGAAGTTTCTAGGCTGGCACCGCGGCTCACTAGGCTAATCCTCTGCCTGTGGCACTGGCACCCCGGGTTCTAGTCCCTGTTGGGGCGCCGGATTCTGTCCCGGTTGCTCCTCTTCCAGTCCAGCTCTCTGCTGTGGCCCGGGAGGGCAGTGGAGGATGGCCCAAGTCCTTGGACCCCGCACCCACATGGGAGGCCAGGAGGAAGCACCTGGCTCCTGTCTTCGGATCGGCACAGTGCGCCGGCCGTAGCAGCCATTTGGGGGGTGAACCAAAGGAAGAAAGACCTTTCTCTCTGTCTCTCTCACTAACTCTGCCTCATTAATTAATTAATTAATTAATTAAAAAAAAAAGAAGTTTCCAGAGCCAGAAGCCAGGAGCCAGGAATCAGGAACTCCAAGTGGCAGGAGCCCAAATCCTAGGACCATCGTCCACTGTCTACACGGCAAGTCTGGCGCCTCCTCGTGCACATCAAACACCACTGAGTTATTTCTGGACCTCTGCTCTAGGGGCGCAGACACCAGAGCAGGCTGTGTTCTCCCTTATACTGGCAATGTCTCTGCCCCTTTTGTGAGTGCTTGGCAGGCTCCGTCCAACCTTTAAAGCCCACGCTTCAAGTCTCTCTCCTCCTTCAAATACCCTAGGGTGGGGGCAGGCAGTCGGCCCTGCAGTTGAGCCGCTCCTTGGGCACCCCACCAGAGTCCCTGCTCCTCCACTTCCAAGCAGGCTTCCTGCTAGTGCTCACCCTCTCATGCTTGTAGACGATGGCTCAAGTACTTGAGTCCCTGCCATCCATGTGGGAAACCTGGGTGGAGTTCTCCCACGCTTCTGTCTTGGGCCTGGCCCAACCTGGACCATTACAGGCATTTGGGAAGTGAATCAATGGATAGGAGCTATCTCTGTGTGTCTCTCTGCTTTTCAAACAAAATGGAAAGAAAGGGGAAAAATGAAAAATAAATGTAAGATATCCCAGCATGCCCCAGGCAAAGTTGGTCCCCTTGCCCCCCTGCTGCCTGCAGTCCATTCCTCCTCCTCCTCCTCCTTTTCCTTCTTCTTCAGAAAGATTCATTTATTTGAAGGCAGAGTTATATATATAGAGAGAGTTTCTTACATATGCTGGTTCACTCCCCCAAATGGCTGCATCAGCCAGGACTGGGCCAGACTGAAGCCAGGAGCCAGGAGCTTCATCCGGGTTTCCCATGTGGGTGCAGGGACCCAAAGACTTGGGGCATCTTCTGCTGCTTTCCCAGGGTCATTAGCAGGGAACTGGATCAGAAGTGGAGCAGCTGGGATTTGAACTTGTACCAATACGAATGCCAGCTCTGCAGGCAGCAGCTTAACCTGCTACACCACAGCACCAGCCCCAGTCCACCATTGCAACACTGGAAGCCTCTCCTCCTGCCCCTTACACAGGTGAAACTCCCCTGGGGTAGGAAGCTGGCACAGTGCTTAGCCTGGAGCGGGCATCATGTTTGCATAAGGAAAATGTTGGCTCCGAGGAGCTTAGGAATATGGCAGTTGTCTCAGGCTAGCATTTTCCAACATGGGATGTGTGCAAACTGAACTTCATAACAGAAGGTTTAGGTCAAGCGAGTTTAGAAAAACCTGCTTCCTCTCATTTTTCAAAAATGCCTTTCTTTTCATTTATTTGAAAGTTAGAGAGGCGGATGGACAGAGATGGAGAGACATCTTCCATTCACTGGTTTACCCCTCAAATGCCCTCACCTCACCAGCTGGAGTTGGGTCAAGTGGAAGCCAGGATCTGGGAACAAAATCTGGGTGCCCCATATGGGTGGAAGGATGCAAAGTACTCGAGCCACGATGTGCTGTGCCCCAGGGTGTGCATCAGCAGGAAACTAGAATCAGACAAAGCTGGGGCTGGAAGGCAGCCACTCTGGTGTTGGATGCGGGTACCCCAAACAGTGTCCAAATTCCATTTTTTTTGCCTGCTCCCAAAATCCATTTTTTTCCCATTTCAGTCTTGGAAGCTCATAGATACAAATATTTCAGTAGAGCTGCATGTGCAGCTTAGCTCATGTGAGCTCTGGGGCAGCCTGGATTTGAACTCTGACCACTCTTGGACCCTCTTTTCTCTGACCATAAATGCTGATGAAATTCTTATTCCCCACCACATAGAGATGTTAATGTGAAAGAATAAAGTAGAATAATTCACAAAACACCCTTGGATGTGTTAGGAATTCAGCAACTATGGAATAATATCGTTATCTTTAAAGACTGGGAAATCCTGCCACAAATTATTACATTAGTCTTCAAATGTATTGGATGGTGGAATCATTTTGTTCCGATCACACAATAACCTACAGCTGTAGATGATAACGTCAAAATTACTCTCTGTAAATTAGATAATGCTTTAAAACTAGACAAATGCAAAGTTGTCAGAACTCTTAAGTGACTGTGTATGGAATAAAGCTAGAATGAGCGGTCAATGAATGAGTGCTTGCACATTTTTCTCATTCAGATCTCTTTCACTGATGGCTGCTGTCCCTTTGGAGAAGTCACCTTGATGAATGTGTTTCGGATGTTTTTCAGCAGGTTGTGTCAGCAGCCAGCAGTGAGAAGGAGGAGAAGCCCGAATGTGCGGTGCTCTTGCTCCGTTTATGGAGCCCGTCACCAGCTGTTCAGCTCTGGCTCTGCGGTCCTCGCAGGTGGGTTCAGGAAGAGACCCTGCCTTTGCGGCTTCTGCTTATAGGAGACTTGTTATTTTCCCTCAGCAGGCTGCTGATGAGTTTGCGAGCTCCCAGAATTCCTGGGCCCGAGGTGGCTGCTGAAGTGACCGTGGGTATGCAGGACCCGAGGGGAGGCAAGTAAAGTGGCCTTCAGCACCCCGCAACCACACCCCTTTGCTGCAGCACCCAGTCCTCATCCGTTCTCAGGAAACCGCTCCTTTCCCAGGCCCCTGCCCCATGGGGCAGAGTCTACTCCCCTACTCCGCCCCACCCTCCACAACAGAGGTGGGCCCGTGACCCAGTCTGGCCAATCACAATGCCCCATTCGCTTGCTTCAGAAACCCACAGTGACCTGAGGCAGATCAAAGGAGGCCCAGCTGGAACTCCTGGGAGAGAGCCCAGGTGGTCACGCCCAGAGGCATGCGGGACCAAGCCAAGAGCTGCCTTTGTCCAGAAAAACCTCAATGTCAAGCGTACGGAAACTTCTCATTTGATCAAAAGCGGGGAAAGAGGCCATTTGCATCCACTTGCATTACGGTTCCACTCGTAGTGATTACTGTCATGAGTATCTCTGAGGATTTACTGTGTCCGCCGTCTCCTCAGTTCGAACACGCACACTACTTCCCACCCCAACATCCCTGAAGTCAGAATGCATCCTGCCATGGAAGGCTTCTTACAATTGCTTGCAGCCAAGCAGTAGTCATGGCCTGGCTGTCGTTGCCTTAACTGATGTCTATTGCTTCCATTTTTTTTTATGAATGCCAAGGTGATATATCATTAAACTCTCTGTCTACATAAATCTTTCAAAAACTTCTCCAACAAAAATTCATGATAATACGACGTCTTTGGGATATGGCTCGATCACCAGTGTTTTTTTTTTTTTTTTTCCTTTCTTGAAAGGATGCAAAACAATATTGCATCTTGCAATTGATGGCGTCCCAATCTCTGCGAGGCAGGGGACTGTGCGGATTTCATTGGTGTTGGAGTCAGGGTGCTGCTGTGTAAGGAAACCACGGCGTGGGGAGATTAGCTAATCACCCATGTCCACAACAAGCTCCCTGGATCGGACAAGTACAGTGTGAGAAAGCACACGAATGTGAGTCAAAGCAGGTCAGCTCAAGACCCAAACCATAAACACACTTTGGCATCTGGTAAACCTTTCAGATCTGCGGCGGTGACACGGATCATCTTTTCTTACTTCTGCATTAAAAAGAAAATGTTTGGAGCTGGTGCTGTGGCGCAGCAGGTAAAGCTTCCACCTGCAGCCCTGGCATCCCATAGGGGCACCAGTTCAAGTCCCGGCTGCTCCACTTCCGATCCAGCTCTCGGCTGTGGCCTGAGAAAGCAGTAGAAGATGGCCTGAGTCCTTGGGGCCCCGCACCTGCATGGGAGACCTTTCAAATAAATCTTTGAAAAACAAAATGTTCCCGTCCTCTCCCCAAGCTCCAACCTTCTGCTGGAGTTGCGGCTTTAAAAAGCCGGTGCAGCCCTTGGGCAGCAGCGGCGCGCGAGTGACTTGGGACCTGCGGGACGGGAGCGAAGCCGCGTCCCCGCACCTGCTGCTTCTCTCCCGGAAGATTCACACCCGGGACCCAGGCCCGCAGTGGACAGAGACCAGTGAGCTTGTTGAAAATGGCCAGGGACGCGGGCTGCCGCGACGTGGCCACAATCAGGATGGGATTTCCTAGGGGAACCACGCCTCTGGGCGCCCCGCTTTTTCTGCACGGCGGCCCCGCCCCCGCTGATGTGAATTAGAACCGTCCAATGTGGCGTCAGAGCTTGGATTCTGGAATAGATGTCCACACAGACAGGCGCGCGTCGGTGCGCGCGGCCATCCTGGCCTCGCGCAGGTCTCGGCGGCTGCGTTTGAAAAGCAGCTTCCATGTGACAATCAGATACGTTATGGCCTTGACTCACGCGACCTCATCTCCCCAAATGAAGTCATCTGTCCCGCCAGGGAAGACAAACCTTCGTTCCAGAGAATCCATCAGCCCCATCCAAGGCCCTCTCTGGTCCTTCGCTCCGGCCAGGGAGCCAGCGAGTGAGCGGTGATCAACCTGACGGGCCCTGGGCAGGCCCTTCGCCTGCCCCTAAATCACAAAGGAGCCAGATGACTCCGCGAAACACCGGCTGCTACTGTCCAAGCGTGGCCTGGCGTGACATCACCTTTGGACTTGGGGGGCTTGTTTCGGAGCAAGGTCTCTCCTGAGAACAGACCCCGCGGCATTCCAGGGGACGCTGGGAGTTTCTCCTTGTGGTTACTAAACTCTTTAACTCCTGCCAGGTAGCAGTGCCAGGCGCGTAATTGCTCACCCAGCCTTTTCATCCCCAGCTATTGCACAACCTATAAACTGTCCAAGAAGGGAACCAATTAGAATGGGAACGAGGCTTCCTGAGCCATACGGGGCGGTTGGGGCAGCGCGGCCTTGCCAGCCAGTGCACGGTTTTTATTGCATCTGCTGAGGAGGTGAAAGAATTGAGGCAGTGGTGTTGCCCGAGGGGCCCACCTGCACCGCCTAGGCCCCCCAGCCCTGGGCGAGCTCGGAGACGCTCTGCTGAGACTCCCAGGTGCACGAAGAGCAGGGGGAAGCCTTGACTGCTCGCTGGGAGCAAGGCCAAAATTACAAGTCAACATGATGAATGCTATAGTTAAGTTCACGGTCACACAGGCTCGGGTGAGTGCAGAGATTCTCACAGGAGGCTGCTCCACGTGCAGTGGGTGGCTGCCACCAGGGGGTCCCAGAGTGGTTGTAGGATCTTCAGGCCATCAAGGGCAAAGCTGACCTTGCCCAAGGTCACTCGCCTTTTGTTTCATCCGTTCAGGAGACTCTTGCTGTTGGCCCACTCTGTGCGGGAGACACCAGCGGGGCCTGGGGATGTGAGAGACAAACACGGCACAGTGATGCCTCCAATGAACGTGCAGCCGAGGGACACAGCCGGGCACTTCCTCCTGGGCTCTCCCAGCACCTTGTGTGACCTCCTCTCCACGTGGCTGCAGCCCTCACTCCGTGTCTGACACACTAGAGGTACTCAATCAAGGCGTGGTAGGAACGTCCTAACCGGCAGGCTTCGGCTCAGATTCAGTTAGTAGTCCTTGATGGAGAGGGCGTGGCACCGCCTCCTTTCCCTCAGCCGGAAGTTACATGTATGCGTGCATTTGTACAGGTGTGTGTGTGTGCGCGTGCACCTGCGTGCCCATGTGCACATGCACATTCAGGTGCTGAAGGGAGATGGAGTTAGTAGGCTGAGCGCCCCGGTTGGGATGACTTTGACTTTGTCCTTTACTGATTACAGAGTAGAAGGGGAGTGGATTGGGCTGGCGCTGAGTTCTGAAATGCTGAATTGCTGCGCCCCGGGGAAAGATCACTTGTGCTCTGTCATTGCACCGACTACACGCTTCCTGATCTCTGACAGGTTTTGCCGAGTCTCCCTTTCTGGCTGAATTTTGAACTCCTTGGAAGCAGGCATAGAGACTCTTTGCTAATGTAATCCCAGGCCCCTGGCTCAGAGCCTGGCCCAAGGTGGCTGTTCCCTGGACCACCTACAGGTAAGCACCCCTTTCTTGTATTTCTCTGACTTTCTCTACCAGGAGGAGTGCTGTTTCTCAACTGGGACTTACTTTGCCTTGCATGGATTGTTGGGCAAAGTCCAGAGACATTGATCAGCATCCTACCTAGGGAGGGAAATTGTGCTGTTAGGTTAAGGATGCTACTAAATACCCTGCAATGCATAGGACAACCACCCACAACAAAGAATTAGGGGACCCAAAATGTCAGTGGTGCCAAGGTTGAGAAACTCTGGACAGGATTCTGGGCCTTTCTGGAGAATCTTTCCCGCCTACCTGTGCCTCTGTCTGCCAGGAGAGATGAGGCGAAGTGAAGTAACACACACAGCTGTGTCATAATGGCTGCACTCCACACTCACTCATTTCTTCCCTGTACTCTGTGGCTGCTGCAGGTTGGGTGTGGGGCTCTAGTTCATGTCTGCCTCACTCGGGGACCCAGGCTGAAGGGACTGCCTCTTTGGGAGCATCGCAGATTACAGTAGTTGCGGGAGAAGGCGTGGAAAGTTGTCCTTTTTTCATTGGCCAATGCAAATCACATGGCCATGCCCAATCTCAAAGTGAGGGTGGGGTGGGGAGGGCAATCTTGCAGCAGACCTGGGAGGGTGTGATTTGTGAACAGTCCTGATGACCAGCCCACATCCTTGTAGATTCATGGTGGGCGCCGTGGGGAAGGCTACCCTGATCACCCTCTGGGTGCTGGGGGGGGTGCCCTGGCTCCATGCTCCCCCCAGGTCTACTCCACCACAACACCTGACACTGCAGCTTCCAGGTCTGGAGGACAGTGTGGCATGTCCCCAGCAGTGCGGCATGTCCCCAGCAGTGTGGCATGTCCCCAACGCCTACCTCGGGGCTTGCTGAGGAGAAGGGCCCAGGAATGACTTTCTGGAGCACTCAGGGACCGGCCAGGCACTTCTCATCCCAGAGGAGGACTCTGAGCACAGGCTGCCGTGTGTGTCTGGTGCCAGGAGCTGATGTCATCAGGCAGTGAAAGGCCAGTGCCTCCGCGCCCACGGCTGGCTGATCCTGCAGGGGTATCAAAGTTCGGAAACCACGATGGCCCATGGTCTCCTGCCCTGGACCTATCCCGTTCTGCCCCCTCATCTCAAGCCCCAACTTCCAAGCTGACCTCCCTCTCTCAGTAGGTCAGCTCTTCTGCTGACTGTGTTCCTGTTGACAGCTGCCCCACCTCGAACCCAGTTTGCCGCCTTGGTGAGAGTCGCTTTCCAGGCTACCTCGCTTGGACAATCCCAACGCTGGTCAGAGCTTAGTCTCACTCCCCCTGTCATTTAGTTAACATTTTCCTTTAACTCAACTCATAATTTCATCTCAAGCAAGTTCACAACTGTTCCAGACAGGTAAGTGGATTGGCCAGCTGATCAATCTATCAATTCATAGATGGATAAGAGTTGAAGGGATAGCTAGATAGATAATATTTCATCCTTTTGGATAATTCTAGGGAATTCCTTTAATATTTTGAAAACTGGTAAAACAAGCTGGCGCCTGGATATTCGCTGGAGTAAAGTTATTTCTTTGATGAAGATTTCCAGCTAATAAATAAATAAAGAAGAATATTGGAATTGAAATATTACTACTTTGTGAACCCTAATGAGTGAGTGGATTTAGGCAACGGTCATCAGTAGCTAGTAACATCACATAAAGAGAGACAACAGACGCCGTATAACTCTCAGTGGACGACTACAGTGCTGCACGTGACATGACCTTGCAGAAGCACGTGGAACTTAGAGCCGACCAAGCCTTGGGACACACCCACCAATGTCCAAGTCATTCACAAGACAGATAGGCGTGTCAATGACCTGCAGATTCAATCAGCAAATCCAGATCGTGGACGACTCTAACAAACAGAGGAGCTGGCTTCTAAGGTGCAACCCTTCCTCAAGAAAATGTGACTTGAGAGAGACAGAGACTGAGAGAGAGACAAATCTAAAGGTTAAAGGAGACTTCGGTGACAGAACAAGCATTGCAAAGTGTGGGCTTCATTTTTATCCCAATTCAAATAATGGTATAAATGTGAACAACTTGACTGGGTACGAGATGAGATTGCTAGGAATTGTGAATTTCTTAGATATGTTAATGGTATTTTTTATTAAAGACTTTTTTTTATTTATTTGAAAGACAGAGTCGCAGAGAGAAGGAGAGAGAGGTCTTCCATCAGTGGTTCACTTCCCAAATGGCTGCAATGGCCAGAGCTGAGTTGAACTGAAGCCAGGAGCCTCTTCCAGGTTTCCCATTGAGTGCAGGGGCCAAGGACTTGGACTTTCATCCGCTGCTTTCCCAGGCCATAGCAGGGAGCTGGATCGGAAATAGAGCAGCCGGGACTCAAACCAGCGCCCTTATGGGATGTTGGCATTGCAGGCTGAGGCTTTAACCCACTGTGCCACAGTGCTGGCTCCTATAATGGTGTTGTGATTAGCTTTTAAAGCCCTTAGATTTTTGGGAAACACATGAAAAATACAGTTGCCCCTTGTAATTGTGAGGGATGAGTTCCAGGATACCCCAAGGGTACCAAAATGTGAAGGTATTCAAATCCCTTCAATAAAATGGTACAGTGTTTGCATGTAGCCCACACAAATTCTCTGACATATTTTAAGTCAGCTCTAATTACTCATAATACCTAACACAATGTAAATGCTACGGATGCAGTTTTGAGGAATAATAGCTAGAAAGAAAAGTCTGCCCGTGCTCCATCCTGACTCAGTTTCCCCCCAGGATTTGCAAGCTGTGGTTGGTGAAATCTGCAGAGACGGAATTGGAGGATACGAAACGCAGACTGTATTTTCAGATGAGATGACCTTGTACCTGGTTGTGCTTTGGAGTAACCTGGGGCTGGGGACAAAGGGCCCAGAGTGGTGGTGGTGGGGTAGATAGGGTGGGGAGGCTGAAACAATGCTAGTGTGTCACGGTCATCCTGCTCTCTCCTCGTTTAAATGCACTTGAACCTTTCTCTAGGAAGAAGTTGATTGAGCCTGAGATGAGGTTACCGAAAGATGGGCAGCCCTGGTGTGCGGCGAGAAGTCAAAGACCCACTGCAGAAGTCATATTCCAATGTGAGTGACCGAAGGGGACCTCATGGAGGACTTGGGCGAGGAATGTTCCAGGCAGAGGACATGACAAGTGTGGAGTCGCCCAGATTATCCAACACCATCCAGGAAATAACCCTGAAAAGCCTTGGAAAGCACCACTCAGACGCTTTCCAATCCACTTGATCAGCTGGGGCACGATGTCTAGTTTGCAACCGAGAACATGGTTGCTTTGAACATGATGTTAATTTTCAGTAGGAGCGCTCCCCTTGAAAATGGAGATGTGTGTGCAAGCCTTATGCTTAGGATTAAAATTTCAAGTGTTTTTAAGATTTTGATTAAAATCAGTTTAATTAAAAAAATGTTAATTGCCTTATTGTCTCTGCTGCTTGCTGTCTGATTCCACCGCTGGGATCAAACCCAGCACCTGCAGGAGTTGCACAAGCTGCCAGTTCTCACAGCCACATGCCAACAAATAAAAGGAAAAGAAAGTTTTTTTTTTTTTTTTGTATTTGTGAATTACGGCACCAATGCATGTAGTGTAAAATAGCCCAGTGTGGTCCCAGCTGAATAGTAAGAGGGTGATTTATTCCCAAGGTTCTGTTTCCATTTTTGCTGTTTATGATAGCATATCAACTGAGCTTTTTGATTGAATTACCGCCTTGTATTCAGGCTGGGACCGTGCATTATTACATATGTAAGTATAAACGCTGATGCAAATGAGTTTCCCTAATGAAATGAGAGGCAGTTTATTTTCCCTTGCATAATGGGTGGTTCTGAGGACCAGATTTATATTCTCCAAGTGAGTACACGCTTATTTTTCAATTTGTCACCCGTTCTTAGCATGAGCACCCCAATAATTCAGATCGGCAAATCTCTAAGCTTTCACATTTTAATGTAGATTTTTTTTCCATTTCTAAACTGAAATCAATTTCAATGTGATTTATCATCAGAGAATTACCTTATGTAAAATGCTTAAGTGAATGAAGTAATAACTTCAGGCCTATCGGTTAGAGAGAGCGATTTTCCTTTTCTCAGTTCTAAATAAATGGTGAGATCCTGGGTCACATTTTCATTTCATTCATTACACTGGGTGCTTTCGTTATAACTGAGTTTTGGAATGTCTAGAAGCTTCGACTGAGCTGAATCACTTTTAAATATTACTGAATTTCATTTGACACAAGCGGAGCTACTTTGTTTGCTGTGGCCTCGTCTTCTATTAGCCCCTTTCTTACACCAGCTGGCCAAGCCCAGAGTTTATTTCACTCCTCATAAATTAGGATGCCACTGTTGAGCCCTGGGCACTCTCTTTGCATATAAAATTAGCTGCAGTTTTCTTGCTTTGAAAATCAGTTGAAGATTTGTTTAGTAAATACTTGGCCAAAGATCACAGCTGCTTGGATCTTTCAGTGACTAGAATCATGGCCAAATAAACCCCTTTATATGGTATCCAACCTCAGGTCTTCTGTTACAGCAACACCAAAAGGGTCAAAACAACATTCTAGCCATAATAATAATATACACTTACTGAGCGCTCACAATGACCAGGCGCTATGTTAAGCATCTAACTTGTGTTATTTTGTTTCTGCTCCACAACAACACCTCCAAAGCACAAGCTACTCTAACTTCTATTGTTCAGAAACAGAGGCTCAGAGACATTAAAGTAGTTCGGCCAAGGTCACCCAGCTGATAAGTGGAGGAGATTCATAACCGGTCTGGCCTCAAAGCATTCTTCTCCCTGCTAGCGTTGAACACGATTCCCACCTGGAGAGGAACACGTCAGGAGCAGCATTTGTCAACATCCTCCGAGAGGGTGGAAGGGCAAGGAGATTGTGGAGCCATGAGGTACTGTGGAGTGTGGACTGTGCGAGTGAGATGGCCAGGGCTGGGTTCCACGCCTGGGGCTGTCATGCACCAAGTTGCGTGGGCCGGTCCACTTCAGTTTTTCTCCCTCTTGCAGTCCGGTGCTGACAATGGTGATACTGTTGCTGTGGGAAGCACCCGAGGGGCGAGCCCATCAAGGCATTCAACCACAGTCGCACACAGGGGTTTGTGCAGGTGGGGGCCCGCCTCCAGGAGCTCTTCTAACAGGGGCTTCTTGATTTGCATTTCTAATTATTCTCAAACTACCTGCCCAGCCGGTCCTCTGAGGACCTGCGCGGTGATTGATGTGATACACTTGGAAATTTCTTTGGAGTTTCTCAGAAGAAAGGTTTTCTGTATGATCCAGCTGGTGCTGTTACCATTTAGAGAAATCTGAAAACCAAACCGCGCCGCTGATACGCTCATGGGGAGTTGAAAGGGGATTATCTTTTAAGACTTGAGAATGTTGATGTTTGCAAATATTTTCTTGCTGCCTCTCCTAATACTGCAAATTGACTGCAGAGATAATGGGCAGGGGATGACATCATACAGAACAGCAGCCTTTTAAGTAGGAAGGCTGGAGGAACCACTTAGAGTAATTAGGAAATCCTCAAACAAGTGTTTGCAAAGCATTGGCTAACCCTGAATGTTTGCCTTTTTTTTTTTTTCTTTCTGGCATCCAAAGCTAAAAGTCTGACCTTGAATAATTATCTACCCATGGGTTCTCAGCACCAGGCGCAGAAAAGCTGCCCCACCGCTGTCTGGCTGTGTGGACAGCATCATCGAATGCAAGGCCTGTGCGGGGGAGGTGCTCTCCTGGGCAGCCTGCAGCATGGAGCTGCCCCAGGCCCACGCACTCTTGCTTTCCTCTTTGACTCTGCAGGGTTTTGGAAAGTGGTACAAACACTCCCTCCTTTTAAACGGGCCAGGCTCCCACGGGTGATCACCACCAGGAGATTCTCGCAGGAGAATCCTTGGCAGGATTTAGGAGAGTGCATGGGAAGTTTGGACATGCTGTCTGTCAGAGCTCAGGGCTACGGGGAGATGGCGAAGGTCAGCTGAAGGCTGGTGTTCAGTTTGTGTTGTTCTAGTTCTGTGCATCGCATCATCTGTCAACTGATTTTCCTACCTGAAATACACACATGATAGAGGTGATAGGTGGAGAGATGATAGAGAGATGATGGGTAGATACAGACAGACAGATGAGAGAGAGCGAGAGATGAAATTCTTTTCTATTTTTAAAAGCAATGCATTTCTCCTGGCAGAAAATTTAAAAAGAAACAAAACAAATGAAAGAACTCAGGGTAACTGTCCGTGATCCTCTTGGTGGAAATTGGAGTCTTAGTTCTGTGCGCGGTTACAGAATTGAGATGATAGGAAGCAGACAGCTTTGTACCGGGAAGTTTCATACCCTTGTCTCACAGGCATCTGTTGCGCGCCTTCCTGCTATGCCATCCCAGGGCCCCTCCATCCCGCCCGTGACCGTTCCCATGACCCTGGACGCTCGGATTGTCCCTAGCATTCAGTTACTGTAACTGATGGTGGGGGGCATCTTCCCACCAACTCTCCACTTCTTCACCAGGGTCAGGTGTAGGGAGCATCCTGCGTTGCCCACTCAGCAGGCGAGAGATGGGACTGCCTGGATGATTATAATACCAAAATTGAGTTTGCAATTACTTGATAGGAAAAGAAGAATAAAAGGCACATGTGGTGGCCAGCATTGTGGCACAGCCATTTAAGTCACCGGGTTGACACTGAAGGCCAGCAAACGTGGAGGAAGCAAATAAATACCCAAGAGTGAGCGAAGCATTCAAATGACGATTTTACTACCTATGGGAAGCCTCTGACCTGCTGGGCATTCTGGCAGTGTGAGACAGGCTAGTTCTTGTCCGAGGTAAAGTGGAACACAGGTGCTATCTGCAAACGCCACCCTCGGCACTGACGTTAGCAGTTCGAGCTCCTTGGGAGCCCTTGGTGAACTTCACGTCTCTCGTGGTGGGGCGCTCGGAATGCCCAGCCTCCACATTCCCACGCCACGCCACGGCCGTGCTAATGCAGGAGATGGGTGAGCTGCTCACCGCCCCCCACGGGGAGGCACTTGTCTGTTTTCCCTCCCGAGGTGAGCTCCGTTCTTCACGTTGCTCTGCTAGTCACAGCCGGGTTCGCCACTCTTCACAGATATTCTCACAAGGTTTCTAAGGAGCCATTTCAATCCGTTCTTTAAAAAGAAACACTGCCCATTTTTTTCAGGAAGTAAACCATGGTGTTCAGGCCATTATAAATCATGATGGATTTCCATACTCTCTACCATCAAGAACCTTTTTTTTTTTTTCCTCTTAGAAAGGAAAATTAAGGTTGCTGTGCCATGGGATCACTTTCATTATCTTTAGCATACAAATGATCTTTTAAAAAGATTTTTCCCCTCTACATATGTACAGTAGCAATGATGTAATTTACCTTGCATCCTCCGTATTAACACTCGGATCCATCATCGCTAACAATGCCAGGGCTTTGTACAAGGGGCTGTCGGACAAATGTTTTAGCTTGTGAGAAGAAAATTGTTAGCATTTGAATAGAGAATGGTACAGGAAGGATTAATAGCCCACTTTGATGGATTAGAATGTAGGGAAATTGCTCAATATTAATATGAAAATGTTTGTGAATTGGTTGCAAGGTGCTGTCAATGGAAAATGATTATGTCTCTGAGGCCTTATCAGTTGAGACTTGACTTTAGCAAAGACTTCCACACAAAAGACTGATGAGGGGTGTGGAGAATGACTGGCCCAGGAGCTGGGACAAAAACACACCATTCAACCAGCAGAGTCCTGGTGTCACTTCGGGTGCCTTTTCTGTAATATTGTACATCTTTATATGAACATATCTGAATATGGATTATAATAAAAGAGAAAAGAAAGTGGGCGAGAGTTATTATTTCTCTCATTTAGCCTTTGCATCTATTAAAGCCAATGCAGAAGCGAGCAGGGAGTTGTTGCATGCACAATGGAGCTCCCTTGAACTGATTTTTCTTTTTCTTTCTTTTTTTTTTGGCCTGTTCACAATGGTGGTCATTTGCAAGGATGGTGGATAGTTTCAAAACCATGAGAAGAAATTGTTGTTGAATACTGTTGCCAATAAACTTACAGCAAACCAAGTTTTGTTGTTTTGGCTTTTATTTTTTAAAAACTGGATGAATTGGGGTGGGTGTTTGGTGCAGCAAGGTGCACCACCTCTTGGAATCCCACATCCACATGGAAAATCCTGGGCTTGCGTCCTGGCTACGCGCCCAACTCCAGCTTCCTGCTAATGTGCCTGGGAGGCATCAGGTGATGACTCGAGTAGTGGGGTTCCTGCTACCCACATAGAAGACTCAGGCTGGGTTCGAGGTCCCAGGCTTCAGCACATCCCTGCCCTGACTACTATGGATGTTTGGGGAGTGAACCAGCAGACGGACGACCTCTGTCTCTCTGCCTTTCAAGTAAACGAACATAACGAAATAAACAGTTTTAAAAA